TGTTCACTGCTTGTCCTGTTGCAATTCCAGAGAGCTGGAGAGGGGCTTTGGACCAGGCATGAGGTGTCAAATTCCATCCTGGGATTGATAATCTGGGATAGCAGCTCGGGAAATAGAAAACATCAGAGAGGGGATCTTGAAAACCAGAGCAGAGCATCCAAAAATAGGAAGAGCTAGGGAAATCCCATTTCCTGTGGAATTTTAATCACACTGGGGCTGCTTTTTCCAGCTGGGAGCAAGTGTCACAGTGCCTCCCAAAGTGCAGATCAGCACTTTGGGTTAGTCCTGGCGGCACATGCAGGGAAAAACGGGAAGAAGAAGTGATTGTCCTTAAAATATTCATCCCTCGGCTCCCAGGCTGACACGTGTAGTGGCTGGGAGGGAAATTCCTCGCCTGCTCTTGGCCCGGCTGGAATGACTCACGGAATAATGAAGGGCTATGAATTATTTATGGATTTCTGTGTAGGACATTGCAGACAATTCCCACCTTGCCGTGCCTTCTTACCTCGGTTCCAGCCCCGCCTTTCCCGGGCCGTGCAGCAGATCCCGGGGATCCATCTGTGAAGTCGGGATGAGCTCCTGACCCGGTCCTGCCAACGGGAAGAAGGCAGGATAAATCCCGGGTAAAATCCCTCCCCTTCCTGCCAGAGCCACTCGTGCAAAAAGGGGGGTTCCAGCTGCTCCCCTTTCCCCAGTTTAAAGCAGCTCCAGGTTCATTTATAATCCCTGGGTAGGATTTCCACTGCTGGGATTTGGGATGATCCCAGTGCGGATTCAGCCTGGCCATCAGTGGGATCGGGATGTGTGGCACTAGGGAAAGTTTTCTACCTGGAAATGCTGTGAGTTTATGGATGTCTACCTGGNTCTACCTGGAAATGCTGTGAGTTTATGGATGTCTACCTGGAAATGCTGTGAGTTTATGGATGTCTACCTGGAAATGCTGTGAGTTTATGGATTTCTACCTGGAAATGCTGTGAGTTGATGGATTTCTACCTGGAAGTGTTGTGAGTTTATGGATGTCTACCTGGAAATGCTGTGAGTTTATGGATATCTACCTGTAAATGCTGTGAGTTTATGGATTTCTACCTGGTAGTGTTGTGAGTTTATGGATGTCTACCTGGAAATGCTGTGAGTTTATGGATTTCTACCCGGCAAGGGGAATTCAGTTGAAAATGTAAAACCATCTGACTCAAACACAGAAACTCAATTGAATTGCACTGCAATAATCTGGAATCCCAGAGGGATGAGGCCACACAACGAGCTTTCGGTGGGGCTGTGGGAGGAATTTGGGATCTGCTCCCTCCCCTGGGCTGAGCTGCAGGAGAATCCCCCGCCCTCGGATGTCTCCATAATCCGCAGCGGGATTTTTCCCCGACGTGCAATATCGCCTTGTCCTCATTTAGGAGCTTTTGTGTCTCCTCCTAAGGAAGTGCAGAACAAGAGGATTAAGGGAAGAACTCCCAGAAAATCCCAGCCCGTGGTATTGCTCGCCGCCGGCCGAACAATCCCGATCTAATTGATCACGGCATTAATTCCCCCTGATCTCTGTGTGCTCGGGCAGCCTGCTGGGAGATTCCTAATCAAATTACAACTAATTCCCAGCAATCTGACACTGCCAGCCTCTGCTCTCTGCTTTAAGGATGTGAAGTGCATTCCCCATCCTGCTGCCTGGGGGTGTGGGGCTCAGGGAAATGGGTTTGGAAAAGGGAGCAGAGTGCTGGAACATGGAATCCTGCACTGGGCTCGGGGTTGGGCTGGCTTTGCAGCAACCTCTGCCCCAAGGCCTGCCCTGAGCACTTGCAGCACTGATGGATTTGGGAATTGCAGGGCTGCTCATCCCTTCTGACTGCAGCTAAAAATAGGGATGGAGTTGGCAGCTTTTTTTACCTCCCAGCAAGAGCAAAGGTGGCTCATCTGGGCTGAATCAGGCCCTGCTGGATTTCATCCCGCTCCCGGGCCTTCCTCATCCAGGTGCTCCCCTTTGACCCCGGGCTGTGAAAAGCTCCCAAGGTTTCAGGTTCCCTGTGTTTGGAAAACTCCAATAAAAGGTGCTTTATTGATTCTAATTAAATATTTTTTTTTTTTTTTTTCCGAGGTGGAGCAGATCCCAGTTAACTTTAATTTAGGGCTGACATTTACCTGCTGCTGGAGGAGGGGGAATTCCAAGTGGACAATTCATTGCAATTTGAGGGAAAAACATCTCTGAAATGCCAGAAAAGTGCATATTTAACATTTGCACTAATTAAGTGATTTTAATTTAATAATAAATCCCTCTTGTCTCTATTTCTCCTCATCCCTCACTCCTGGCCTGGCACAGGGATTGAACTGCACTAATTCCTCCTTTTTCCAGTGTAAATAAGCTTTAATTCCTTTTTCCAGCCAGCCAGCACCTTCATAATTTCACTTTTTGTCAAGAAATCCTTCATTTGGAGTTGCCTGCAACAAGTTTTCCCCTCTATGCTGCAAAACAAATCCAGACTACGGCGCACCTGGTCCGGGTGGGAATTCCTCTGCAGCACCATCTGGAACGGTTTTGATGGAAACACAAAGAAAATTGTGCCACAAACCCCACCCCTGGCTGTCCTTGGATGTGGGGCTGGGAGCACCTGGAGAGGGGAAGGATCAGCCTGAGCTGATCCTTAAGGTGCTTCCCAGGGAAGGTTTTCCTGGGGGATCTGGAGCCTCATCCTTCCCGAGTGTCCAGCTGGAATGCCTGCTGGAACAGCGAGCCCTCTGCAACGTGCCTTCATCCATCTCCGTGTCCCCTGCCTTGCTGACTGAGCCCCGAGGGCTCCAGCTGTGTTCCTGTCACAGCCTTGGGGTCACCCCCTTTTGGGCTGTTAATGAAGTTCCTCTGCTAATGAAGCTGCTCCGCTGGGCTGCAGCAAGGGATGAGGTCCCTGCCTGGGATTGGGCCATTAATGAAGGGAAGTATGGAAAGGCACCCAGACTGTCCAACCCCATTCCCTTGGATGCTGCTGCAAGGGGAGTTCAGGGATTTGGGCACCTGGATGAGCAGCAGAGGGAACGAGGGCAGTGCAGTGCTGAGGTCTCACCCTGGCAAACCTCAGCCTAATTCCCTGCTCAGGTTTGTCCTGCAAACATTCCCATCCTTCACTCTCCCAAGTTTGCCCAAGTCCCTGCTTGTGTGGCATTATCCAGGAATTTGGGATTGTATTTCCCCACTGTGATATAAAATGTCCTTTGCGTCAATGCAACTCTGACAGAAAACGTGTTACTCCCATTTTAAAACGTTGTATCCAGGTTTCCTTTTGGAATCACATCCTGTCCCATGGGATTTATTCATCTACAGCCTCTGACTGTGTATTTCCAGAGAGGATAAGAAATGTACCAACAGAAATATTTGTGGAACAACTCCTGACTTTTCAATTACGGCAAAGTTTGTTGACAGAGCGAGGTGAAAACACCAAATATTGGGGATGAAACATGCCTGGCTTCAGGTGCAAACGTTCCTTCCCATATTGCCCTGTTGTCCTTAGTAGTTTTTGCAAGCAGAAACCCACAACCAGTAACCCCAGTAAGGGCTGTGGCTGGAACCATCCCAGCACCACCTGAGCTCTCCCAGCCCTGATCCCGCGGGATCTTCCCGAGCGACTTCCCAGGTTTGATTTAGCTCTGCTGGGCTAAGCACTTTATTAATTGGCTCTCTTTTATTTACAGTTCCATGGCCCCGAAGATCTGCTGGGGTGGGTAATTGAATTTGGGGGAGCCCAGTAATTAAAGGAGTCCGAGGAGCAATCAGGGAGCGTCGGTAAATAAGGGAAGGGCTCATCCATCAGCAGCATTAAATGATTGCAGCTCATGTGTGAGCTCCTAACTCTAATTTATGGCTTCCTGAGATTCTCAGCGCTTCCCTCCTCCTGCCCAGGAGAAGTGGTTTTCCAAGACCTCTCGTGTGCTCTGTGCCATCCCAGAGTCCTGGGTTTATCTGGGGGCAGCTCCAGATGGTGGGATGGTACAGGACAGACCCAGGGGAGAGCACCCGGGATTCCCGGCTGAGGGATGCATTCCCAGGCACTGGGAAGGGATTTTTTCCAGGACTGAGGGTTGTGCCAGGAGCGGCTGTCACCCCCCCGGGGGATTCTGGCAGCCCAACCGAGGACATGTGGCACGGAGAGGGTGCCAGGGAGCCTCACCTTTCCCTGGGATGCAACAGCAGGCATTTTGTGTGGGGATCTGCCCTGGGAGGGAGGGCAAGGGGCAGCTCTGAAAGGAGTGATTCCCACCCTGGCCAGCAGCAGGGAATTCTGCTGGGACAGCGGGGCTGTCATCCCCTGGGGCTGGAGTGCAACACCATGTTGTTTCTCAGTACGGATGCAGCATTTCAAATGTTAGCATTTTCCATTTTAGCCCACTTTTCCATTTCATTCCAAATCCCTGTAAGAAGGAACTCCTGGGCTGCTGCAGCTGCTGCTGCTGTTTGAAGTTTATTTACCTGATTTTCCCCAGCGAGCTGAACTTCCTGCCCTGTCCCTTTTGGAGCACGGATCTTTCTGGAACGCACTTGCTGTGCAGAGCAGGGATCAGTTTGGGAGGTTTGCTCTCCCACAATTCCATGGTTTTGCTGGCACGGCATCAAAAGATGACAAACATCCTGCAAGGAGACAGAGGCTTTATTGTTGCTGTTTGGGGGGGTTGGCACACCCCAGATGGGGCTGGGATTTTGGGATAAATGATTCCAACCTGCATTTAATTGTGGATTGGTAATCCTCCCTGGTTTGGGGAATTCAAAAATCTCCATCTGGAGGGATGCGGAGCTGCTGCCACGTGACAGCGCCCACGTTCCCGAGCCTTTGGAAAATGCCCTTTGGGAAGGACAGAGCCACGGCCAGGGGCACCTTTTCACAGGAGGGAGGGGCAAAATGGGGGGGGGGGAACCCCAACTTGGAGTGCTGCACCCACAGATGCTCCCAGGAGCAGGGAAAGGATTGGAAAATGCTCCTGGCAATAAATATGGAATGTCTTCCCAGCCCCTCGTCCTGCTGGCTTTCTGGGGGATGGTGGAAGTGTGGCCAGCTGTGTGAGCACACACTGGACACCCAGGAGGATTCCTGGGGGTGTTTGATGGGGCTGGGCAGGAATAATCCCAAGAAAAAGCAGTTTACAGTGTTTGTCTCCCCATCCAAAGAAACCCTAAAGCACAGGAGTCATTTGAATGCGTGTTCTTCCAGGCATCCCACATCCAACCTCCCGACAGCCTGCGCTGTGTCGTGCCAGACAGAAACGGGTGCCAAGCTCTGCCCAAAAAAAACCAAAACTGCGCTGCAGGAACACCTTGCTCGTTCCCAGAGACACGGAACAAGAGATGAGGGAGAGAAATGGCCTCGGAATCCCGCAGAGGGAAAAGCTGGTTTGGGAAAGGGATGATGGATGGAGGGCCTCTGTGTGCCCGCTGGCCCTGGCACTGCCGTGCCCCAGAGCCGGGCTCTCTGCAGCTCACGTTCCTCTGTGTGCCCGCTGGCCCTGGCACTGCCGTGCCCCAGAGCCGGGCTCTCTGCAGCTCACGTTCCTCTGTGTGCCCGCTGGCCCTGGCACTGCCGTGCCCCAGAGCCAGCGTGTCCAGCCAGTCCTGGTTCTCCCAGGATTCTCTTCCCTGCATCCCCACGTTCTCCTCGGCATTCCCGATTCCCAGCAACTTTCCAGCCTCCTCATTACCAAAGGTTGTATTGAAGATTCCCGTGTCTCCGGCTTAATAACCCCCAAACGAGTCCCGCCGGAATTAGCCGTAATTAAGGACATTGTGAAATATGGCAGGGGCAAAGGGAATTACACCGTATTACTTTATTAATAATATTCCTTAACGACACTGAAAATTGCTATTAGGCCCCGACCATTCCTGCCTGGATCTGGAAATAGTCTTTTGCTATGCTAATCTAGCACAATTTTCTTTTCAATGTAAACAAATTATGCTCTATTAATATGCTGTTCTCCTTGCATAGTTAATTATTGTAACAGTAAGGAATAAAATGCTCCGGCTTTCGCTGTTTCGGATGGAAAAAGGGCTCCATAAATACTTTAATAGGGAGCTAATTATGCACAGAATTCCAGCGCCGAAAATGCGTTTGTAATTGCATTAAAACGGTCTTCTGTTCAAATATTGGGAAGCCAGCTAATCGGAGGTAAGCTGGAATTTCAATATCGTCAATCCATGATTTCCGTTGGCTGCTCGTGCCTTTCTCCATACCCGGTTTTGGGAATGTGGGGAATGCTGAACGGCGCTCCCTGCGAGCAGCTCGGGCTTCACAGGGTTGGGAAAAGGGATGTGAGACAGAAAAGGTGGGATCACCTCGTCACCGAGGTTCAGGCCGTGCCAGCGGAGCTCTAGGATGGATTTTAGCAAAAGCCCACCATGGAAAAGGTCTGTAGCTCTGCGTGGTGGACTTCCCATCCCTGGAACGCTCAGAAACCACGGGGGTGTGCCAGGTGAGGACACGGCTGGTTGATGTTCTTAAAGCTCTTTCCCAGCCTCAACAATTCCACCAGTGTCCCAGGGGAAGATGCCGCAGGACTGTGCCAGGAGAAGGCCGGGCTGGGCACGGCGAGGTGGCAGCGAGGACAATGGGATGGCGGGCACCGAGTGGGAACAGGCAGGCAGCTTTGTGGCACAAAAGCAAAGGAGAGGATTCCAAATGGCTAATCTCCAGCCACCCCCACAAGTTTTGTCTCTCTTTAGCACCTTTCCCTGTTGCTAAGTCTCGCATCCAAAAAACCCGCAGAGGAGACACTCCAAATTATGCAGCAATATTGTGTCGAGCAGCCAAAAAGAGGCTGGGAGCAGGAGCTCCTGGTTATCTTTAGGAAAATGCTGATTGTCTTTAGGGAATGCTGGTTGTCTTTAGGAAGTCCTGAGTGTCTTTAGGAAATCCTGGCCCCGGGGTTTTATCCCTGCAATGCTTCGTGTGCCCCTCAGGTGAAACAGGAACGTCTACAATGGGTTTGTTTGCTGCTACATGAGTGACCCGAGTCAGGTTATTTTTATTTCTAAGCGAGAAAGTTCCTTAAAATACACCTGAAGGCGCATGGCAGGGGCAGAGGAGAGCCTTCCAAGTGAAAATTCCTGACAAATTAGCTCAGGCCAGGAGTTAGCACTTCAATTTTCATAACAAATACTTCAGCAAACCCAATTCCTTAAGCTTGCTCGTAGGAAGCCAAAGAAATCATCTGCTTTGGGGGGGGAAAAAGAAGAGAACAAATGGGAAAAAAAAGCCGGAAAAAAAGACATGTCAGATCCCAGCTATCCTGCCAAAATCCCCAACCAGCTTCCTAGCTTTTAAGGGAAGAGCATTTGAAATATCTTTGCCGAGTCGTGTCTGTTTGTCTGACAGATGTCTGCAATGTTCTGGGAGCTGGAGTCATGCTCCGAATGTAAATAAGATTATGGGCCTCGCAATATTCCCATTGCCTGGGATTTACCTCCACAGCAAGGAGCAGCAAACGGAAGGCAGGCCTTTTTCCCAGCAGCTTTTTCCCTCCCTATCCCACAAGCAGGATTAACGGTTTTTTTTTGCCTCGTCAGTTAAATACCCAGGTTTGTCCTTTAATCCAGTGAGTACTCCAAAGGATCCAGCTGTTTTTTCTGGCTCAAAATAGAACTTATTCACTGGGAAGCATAATCTCCTTTCCCCCTGGAATGAATAACCAGCGGAGTAATGGAGTTGAGTGCTGCAATCCCAGCCATGCTCCTGGGACAGGCAGGGGTCCCTGTGGTGGGAAGGGCCATCCCCACTGTCAAGAAGCAGCTCCAGGGCCTGCGGCAGGATGGGTCATTTTGCATTTTCCAGCAAACTTTCATTCCAGAAGTGAATTCACCTCAATTCCTAAAACAAAGCCTCTTCTCAGAGCTGCAATGCAGCGCTTTGCCCTTTCCGTGCCCTTCCCCGAGGGATCCCCGTCCCGAACACCCGAGGCCGGGCATGCCAGGAGTCATCCCGCTGTCGTGCCTGAGCGAGACATCCCCGCTGGAATTTGTCAGGGAATGACAAAGTCATTGATGCCGACTGCGACGCGGAGCCGCGTGCGCCGGGCCGGGCGGTGAGCGGAACAGCGCGGCTTTCACCTGAGACAAAACGAGGTCTAATTAGATTAATCTGCAAACCTTGTCTGATTCACGAACGCTCTCAGATCAGAGCCGTGGGGCTCTGCTTTTAGGGCGAGCAGAATGTCCCCCCCACCCACGCTCCTGAGGAGCTGAGCTGGGCTGGCACGGGTGTCGGACACTCTCCAGCTGTTCGGGAACCGTGTGTCAACATTATTTACCGACCTAACGCCATGATAATTACGGAATGAGCACGGGCAGGATGGCCATACATACTTCATGCCGGCGCCGCGCTGCCTTCGGAGAGGCGGGGGAGAAAAAATTCATTTCCAAATGGGTTCCGGGCCTGCCGGCAGATGGGAGAGCACGGAGGGTTCTGCCGTTTAACCCCCGCGCCGCCGCGGCCCGGCCGGGAGCTGCGGTGGAAGGGTTCCTTTAAAGGCCCGACACCTGCGCTTTTACTGCACGGCAGCGCGGCCAGATGTGGAAGCCGAGCGCTCGGAGCAGCTCGCAATTGGAAAAACGTGCCCGGCAAAGGAAAGGGAGGCTTTTATTTCCACATCAAACCTCGATCTTTAAAGAGTTGCCTCGCGTCACCTTCGGCTCCTGCTGAGCGCCGCCGCTCGCTGCTGCCTCCGCGCCAGTCCCGGCCGTGGGCAAAGCAGCCAATTAATTCCAGAGGCTTCGGCGAGTCCGAGTTCCCTGCGGAAAGGGCCGTGCCAGCCTGGGGAAGGGCTCCCGGCGGGCCAGGCCCGCGGTGCCCTCGCCACAGAGCCAGGGTGGGATGCTGCCATGCTGCCGGGCACCCCGCTCGCCGGGGATACCGCACCCGAATGCCACCGGGATTCTGCCGGCGCTCCGGCGCAGTCCCTCTAAGCACGTCTGGGCTTTGCAGCCTGCTTTTCTCCTAAATTTGGTTTTCCTCCAGCCCTCTTGGGATTATCCCCAGGCTCTGCAGAGTGACCTGACCCCGGTGCCCTCGGGTTTTTTTTTTGTTTTTTTTTTTCCCCTCCTTTTTTTCCCTGAAGTGTGAGCTCATTTGAAAATTCCAATTTCTCCAATAATTCGCTGCAGCTGCCGAGATGTTCCCGTGCTTTTGATCACTGTTATTAATGATGTGCTGTAACATATGCAAGCCTTGCAATCCCAGCTACTCTTTCTTACAAAGATCAGTTTGTACTTCCCCCCGCTCCCTTCTCCCCCTTCCCCTCCCTTTTCCCTCCCTCCCTCGGCTCTGATGGAGCTCATATGTTTTAGGAAGTTCATCCCCCAGCTATTAGTCGGAGAATTAGGAAATGTGTGGGCAGCTCCTCTGTGGTACAAAAGACATTGGAGGAAGAAGCTGTTCCCTTTTATTCCCCAAAGAAGGTTTTTGGCTTTATTTCGGGGGTCTGAGTTTGCCGTTAAAAATGTTGTGGCTCGTTCCTAATGTTGTCTTATTGACTTCCATGTTTTGAGAGAGCTTTCCAGCTTTGCGGTTTTTTTTTTTCATTTCTCAACCACTCCCAGCCCAAACAGGAGATCTTGGTGCTGTAAACAAACGCCAGGTAATAATTCCATGGCAATCTGGGTATTTCTGGCCCGTTTCTAACACCAGCAGCACCATCAGAAGGCGAGAGCCATCCTCTGCCACTGCTCTCAATCCAAGCTACTGAGAGCCAGCTGAAATTGGACAATTTAAGTCGGATTTCTTGTACCTCCTGTCCCTCCTAAAAGCCCCCAGCTGAGGAATTCTTTGCCCATGCTGACGACGGCAGCATCCCAAGGACGCGGGATGCCCTGAGGACACCGCAGGGACAGCTCCGGGTGTCCCTGCGCCATCCACCGCTACCCTCGGCGTCACCCCGGGCACCCCGAGGTGCCCCCTGTGCCCGAGGAATTCCGTGCTCGGGAATGAGGAGCCACCCGAGGGAACACAGCCAGCGTGGAGCGGTGACATCCTATGGCACAAACCCCCCCGCACCAACCAGGACAGGGCTCACCTCTCCCCGTCCCCTCAATGTTATTTTTACCCAGCCAAATGAATTCTTGGGGCGTTTCAGCCCCAAGCTCAGGGGGAGCAGGAGCTGCTGGAGGCGGGGGTTGTCCCCCTCCGAAGCTGCCGAACGGCTTTTTGATTCCTAAAGCTGCCTGCGGAATGTCGTATTCCCTAAAATTTCTCCCTCATCTCCGCTCTCAGCCGCGAATCGGAAGGACCACGAAAAAAAAAGAACCCAGGCTGCGCTTCTTCCCCCCTTTCTCCTCCTCCTCGTCTTGTTTTTTTTTTTTTTCCAGCAGGACGAAACAGGTGCTGAAATGTGAAACCCTACTGAGGGATTTCCTCGGCAGGCAGCGCGGTGGGAGCACGGAGAGCCGGAGCGGGATGTTGCTCCCAGGGTTGCCGGAGCGCCGGGAGAGCTGAGCTGTCGCTTTAAGAAAAAAGAAATTCGGCTCTGAACTACCCAAAACCCTGCCATTTCCAGCCTGGGCTTGATTAATGATTTTTCTATCTAATAAAAGGTTCACAAACCATCTGTTTTTCTCCCTAATGCCTTGCCCAAAGGTTTTTCGTTCCTATTTCAGGCTTGGGGCCAACTGACATTCCCCTCTTTTTTTTTTTCCCAGCCTTGTAAACAAACCCTTCTCTCTTTTTAATCTTCCAGGGCTGTTTCCTACCCATCGTTATGCATATTCATTGCGAGTAAACATTTTTAGTGTCTACACTTAATCTCTTCCACTGGCAATTACTGTTCTATGCTGTTTTGTAATGCAGAAGGGCCAACGCTTTCCCTTCTAATAACAGCTGGGTCGCAGATGGGGCCTGCAGTCATTGTAGAAAATAAAAATTTACAAGATGCCAGTGGAATTTATTTCAGTTTTATGGAGTCACAGGAGGAACCTTTCTGTTATCCGCCTTCGGTGCAATCTGCAGGCGCGAGGCAAGCTTTTGACATTTAATCAAAGGGGGGTTCAGGTAGGGGCTGGAACGGGTGAGGGAAGAAAGCAGGTGGATCCTATTAGGCAGTGCCATGGTTAATTTATTTGGGAGTGATTGGCTGAGATGTGTGCAGCCGAGCTTTGACATCCCGTGTATATCTTGGTTAGCATGCCCCGCTCCCGAGCCCGCGCCGCTGGCACCGC